AAAATTCGCAAATTATTTTAAGCTAGAAATTCATAAAAAATTTTCTTTTTAAATCTAAGATTTGAAAATTTAATAAAAGATTCCTTATAAGTTTGTCAATCTTTGTCACATAAAAAATGTCCAACGGAAATTCAAATTAAATTTTTATGAGCATTTGAAATTTAAATTTTTACAACATCGGATTTTTACTGGAGTTCACATTTAGTGATTTTCTTATTTTGGCGTAACTCTAAAACAAATGACCGCAGATACTTGAAATTTTCACTGAATGTTTATATAGGCATTTTATATATTTGATAGAATTTTCAAAATATTTAGATTTGTTTTGAGCTTTGACTGACATTTTAATTTTTAAACTTTTTTAGTTTTTTTTTCTATAAATATCGATAAAAATTTATTTGTTGGGTAGAAAAGCTTGGAAATTTAATACAATGTTTCTAACACAGTGTAACAACAGCAGTTGAAAAATATTAAAAATACATAGGCATGATTTTTTTTATAAGCATTCAGAGTTTGAATTTTGACAACACGTAAAAATCACAAAATTTCGTAAATTATTTTATGCTAGAAATCTAAGATTTGAAAATGTTTAATAATCTTTAATATATCCTAGACAGATAAACCGCCTTCGCTCAGAATCGTTTTTCCTATACAATGATATAATATCATTGGATTTAAATTTAATTCCGTCCATTACAGTAACCCACTTGTAACCTACTGTACAGCAGAGCGACATCCACGATTTACCCGCTTTTTTTTTTGGATGTGCACTATTTGATTAAAAACTCACGAGCCACCACTGGTTTTAACTATGTAACTTAAGAATTTAAAATCAATTTTATTTCTAACCGTTAACGCCATCATATTATAAACGTATGATTACATACGATTATACGAATCTCCGTGATTGTGTATACCTGCTAATACCCCTAATAAAATATTATTAGGTATATTATAATATAATAATATCATCGCTAATCCCTATTAAAGGTAATATAATAAATATTATGCTTACATAACGATCATCAACACTAACTAAATAGATAGATATAAAGCTGGTATTCTAATATATAAAATAAAATGTCTCTATCCA